CCCAGACAACAGTTTTCCCATATAAAGGCATTTTAGTTCACAAAATAAAATTCTAAACAGAATCTGAAATGCTGTACTCTGTCCAGTGCCTTGGGACATCCTCCGACGTGAAAGGCGCTATACAAATGTAATCTTGTTGTTGCTGCTTGCGACAGTCTTTTAAACAAATTCAATTTCTTGCAACTGGCTGATTCATGCTAATTACATGCAATGAATGCTTATGATGACAAACTATAAATCACTGTTGAAATGTACATCAAATGCAAGCGTTGTGTGTTGAAGAAATACCAAGCTCTGATAACTCTTGGATAATGTGAATAATTTACTTCATTACTACTCTGACATGTTGACAAAAAGAAGCCCCCTGCAGTCACCTGACTTTTAGTGATCCTCGGATTTGCGCTTTTCATATCAGAAGGACATTTCGCAGGATTTACTGTAAAGTGTAGTGACTGTGTGCTTTGCAGGCGAGTGAGACAGTCAGTTTTGTACACAGTCCTGTCCCACAAACAAACAGCCAAGAAGTGAATAACCAATTTTATCGGAGGGATTGTTAGCCAGGACACCAGGATAAACTCCCTTCTCTTGTCGAACAGTGTCATGGGATCTTTAACATCCACCTGAATAGGCAGACAGGATCTCATCTGAAGGACGGCACCTCCAACCAGGCAGTGCTCCCTCCAGCACTGCACTGGAATGTCTGTCTAGACTGTGAGCTCAAAGTCCCGACACGTGGCATTAACTCACAACCTTCTGACTCAGAAGCGATTGGGCCAAACGGACACTTAAATATATGACATGAAAATACATTAAAGGGGATGTTACTTCAGTCAGCAGAGAGGGTGAGACATTCAATATATTCTTCAAGCAAATTCTCCATATTTGCTGCTCTCACACTTTTATAAAAGTAAGTAAAGTGGAAAAGGAACCGCAGCTAAACCAGCAGTGACAGAAGTGAGGAGATCAATACCTAAAGGAATTGCCTGGAACCGTGTAAAATGCCATATTTAGCCTATGCTCATTAGAGGATGCTGCAGATTCAATCAGCTTCCCACTGCAGTTCATAGGAACATAGGAATTATGGGCAGGAGTAGGCCATTCGTCCCCTCGAGCCTGCCCCGCCATTCAATAAGATCATGGCAGATCTTCTAACCTAACTCCATCTGCCGCCTTATCCCCATATCCCTTTATCTCTCTATCCTTTAGAAATCTATCAATCTCAGACTTGAATATGTTCAAGGACTGAACATCTACAGCCGTCTGGGGTAGAGAACTCCATAAATCCATTGCCCTCTGAGTGAAGAAATGTTTCCTCAACTCTGTTCTAAAGGGCTGTCCCTTAATTTTAAGACTGTAACCCCTAGTTCTAGATTCTCCTACCAGGGGAAACAATCCCACACTGTCTGCTCTTCAAGCCCCATAAGAATCTTATATGTTTTTATAAGATCACCCCTAATTCTTCTATATTCTAGAGAATATAGGCCTAGTTTACTCAACTTATCCTCATAGATCAACCCCTTCATCCCAGGAACTAACCTCGTGAATCTATGCTGCACCCCCTCTAAGGCGAGTATGTCCTTTCTTAAATAAGATCAAAACTGCACCCAATATCCTAGGTATAGTCTCACCATGGTCCTAAACGGTTGCAGCAAGACTTCCCTACTCTTGCATTCTAACCCTTTTGCAATAAACGCCAACATGCCATTAGCCTTCCTAGTTAGTTATGGGATCTTTAACGTTCAGTGCCCCTCACACAGGACAATGCTCTGGGACACTACCCTGCGTGAGGTAAGGGGGTGGGGGTGGCACTATATAAATGCAAATTGTTGTTGTTGAGTTTGCTTTGTAAATACCATGCTTCACCTCATGTTTGTTATATCACATTGAATGGCTGGAATGGCCAACAATTCAAATCAATTAACTCTTAAGACAAAGGTCATTGGTGTCACAAGAAGCAGAATCTTAATACGTGTTATAAGCTGTTTGATAGTGTCGCGCTACACATGTAGGTCATTCAACAACATTTACGCAGTGCCCTTCATGCTGGATGGCATCTCGGAGCGCTTAGTCTGTTGTATTTTCTTCCCATGGGCACTGGGAGAAGGTACTCTCCCCGCTTGGATACCATTAACCCTGCAAGCCAAAACTATAGCTGGGTAGGGTGGTCCCATCTGAACAAGGAGTGGGAAGCTTGCCAGGCAATGCTTTCAATGGCAATCTATGCAATTCTACGCCAGCAATTACTCCAACGCACATTCTGGGGTCCCCAACCCTTGGTCTCGTGATAACCTGCACCTAATACTCTCTGACATTAGGTAAGTATTGTGCGTCCTTCCAGGGAGAGAGTGCGCAATCCACTCCAGACACAGGGAAATTTCCATGTGTAAGTGATGTACATATGTGGAACGCTCAGTCTGTTTGAAGAATGGTGATGGGTTTCTGTATGTGCCAAACACCTGGCTGACCAAATAAAACCACCTAATCTAATCGCAACCTCCTGCATGCTCTCCAAACTGTAGACATTCCTATTTGAAGGATTATTATCATACTATTGACCTTTGGTATTGTTGTAAATAAAACCTGTCTTAATTTAATGTACAATCTGCTGCTTTGTTCATATATGTCCCTTTATGAGAGACTCTCCCAATTACTCCCACTGATAACAGAAGGGTTTATTGTTTGCTGAAGGGGAGGGGGAGGTGGTGGGGGGGAGGAGGGGTCATGAGCCATCTGTCAGTTCAGTGGAACAGACACACAAATAGTGCCCCAGATTGTAGGGGATGGGAAAGTCTACTTAAGGATCAGCTGGGAAGCAATTGTAGGAAAAACAAAAATAAACCGACTGTCCTTTACCTAAACATGTTAATGGTTGGAGAATGTATGGGGAACATGTAAAACTGGAGCTATTTTGAAGGGAGAAAATCATGACGCATCCAATTTTCATGTCCGTTAATTTTTATTTGATGTCGGTGTTATCAGACTGGCTCAGTTCGTTGCACTTTCACCTCTGAGTCAGTAGGTTGTGGGTTCAAGCCCCACCATGGAATGCTGAACTTACAATCTTGCTTGACATTGAACCACGCAGTGGTGGGAGACTGCTGTATTGTCAGAGGTGCAGTCCTTTGGATGAAATGTTAACTGAGATCCTGTCTGCCTGCTTAGATAGATGTCAAAAAGAGAAGGGATTTTCTACTAATGTCCTGGCCAACAATCCCCCAGATAAAATTGGTCATTCCTTTCATGGCCGTAGTATGATAATAATCAACATCTATAACTTACACAAGCAAATCGATTTTAATACATTTCTTCTCATATACTACAATGCACATCTTAGTGTTTAACTCCTTCAATTCAAGATCACTTAGTTTTCCCTCAGTTAGCTAGCGACAACTACATGTGTGAGGTGAGCAATCTAAGGCAACCATCAAATAATAACAATAATATCAGAAGATGCGGTCAACACCTAAATCAAAAATTGCGCATAAAAGCCATATCAATCACAATCATTGATCTTGAATGTATCACTTTTCTTTTTGGTCAGCTGGATATCTGACTCACGCAGAAACACACCACCATGCTTGAGTCATGAAACAAACGACTGAAAGTTCTGTGTACTATTTATGTGGTAAAGGAGTGAGCACTCTCTATCCAGAGGAATGCACCCTGCTAACCTAATCTGCGAGAACCTAGGTGCAGGTTGATAAGAGCCAAGGCTCAGGGACTGGATTACTGCTAGAGTTTAACCAGCTAAAATTCTGCAGCTTACAATTGCAAACTTTCAGTTGCTTGTGCAACTAGGACCTCTCAGTTTATGGCTTAGACTTACAAGGTTATCAGGAGCCAAGTGGGAAGCATTGCCTAGTAGCCGGTCTGCTCGTCCAAATCCTGCCAATGAGCCAGGCTGGCCATTTCCATTTTCAACAATGCTCTGGAGAACTATGGACACACCTTGCTCAGGTATCAGACTACCAACACTGACACAGAGGATCCACTTGATTCTGATGTTCCATTTCCAGGTGTCCCACCTTACAGTCAGCCTCAAACACGCAAGTCACTAGAATGCATCACTTAAAATCACTGGTACAAAATGATTTGGATTCATTGGAGTCTTACTTAAGTTTGAAGACATTCTTTTAAAGGGATAATATATTCAGCTCATAATACAAACCAAAATGAAAGGTTTTTACTATTTAGAGCAGAACTTGAAGTATAAATTGGATTATCTATTCACTGTGAATACAAAGATGTAAAATATCACTATACTGGAATAGAAGAAAAGCATTAACTGAGAGATTTCATGTGGAACATTAGTTACGATGCATAATCTTGATTAATAAATACTGCATTATGGTTTCATAGGCAATTGATATGAAAATGGATGTGTCACAAAACCAAACTGAAAGTGTTGCCAATAGTCTGAGGGTTATTTGGATTCATCAAAAGATTGAAAGATAGCAATTGAGCGAAATATTGAATTGGGAAAAAAAGCGTACATTGGCTAGAAGTTTTGTTAATCTTCTGCGGGACTGGAGTATGAATTCAAATTAAGAGCCAAAAATTGGAAATAGGTTTGTCTTCCTATTCACAAATAATTGACGACGCACATTTAACACTACGACCTACAATTCAAAAGAATTTTACACAACCGCACCACAAACTGATTAGCTGCGTTTTTAGTTAATAATAATAGTTAATGACGAGTAGTGATAATAATGGACAAGTACAACTAGTGAAAGGCTATAAAATTCCTCTGTGAATGATGCAATTCTGCATCTGTAGAAACAATGTCCAAATTTCCTCCATTTCTGTTTTGCACTTAACTCACTTGTGTCACTACCGCTGCCGTATGCTATCAGGTAGCATTGAGAAAACAGAACTGAAAGACATGTCTATTTATCCAAGGTATAGTGAGCAATAGAGGCAGGTCAAATACTCGACCTACTAGTGGCGAATAAAAGATGCTGCTATATATTGTTGCTTAAAATACAATTGCTACTTACCAGGGGTTTGTATTTACTTCCACATTCCACAGCATGATCAGCGAGTCGTGCTTGCTGCTTCGGACTAAGCTGTTGACGAGAAGCTCGGGTCGTTGTAAGAGACTTGTGGCAAAACAGTGAATAAAACGAAATCTGAAAGGAGAACTGCCAGGACACTTCTCATGCTTATCTGCAGGCCAGACAGCTTGTGCTATATTAGGAATGCAAAATATCTCTCTCTCGTTCCTCTCTCCTTTGGGGACAGCTTAGAGAAGAGCCTGGGTCCCACAATCAACCTTCATTTCATCTGTTCTTGGTGATCTGCTTCCATTCAGAACTTCAAGGTAAAATGCTTTGTGGCATAGCTGGGTCCATAGAAAACTATGTGTCACTCAAATCAGGCAAGTGCTACTGCCCTTGCAATTAATGGTAAAGTACAGAGAGTCATTCTGTATATTAAGATCCACAAGCCCTTAGGGGTTTGGTTTAATGATCTGCTGTTATAATTTGCCGGAGGTCTTTTCAGACAGTACCAGCGAATGACAAAGAAAAGCTCCAGTTTCCTCTGTATCACATACACTGCGTGAGCAGCTCCGATCAGTATCCTTTCCCTGCTTTAAAAATTCCTGGTTCTCTGCCAAAGTTATTTCACGAGCAACGAATGAGCAGTGAGCATAACAGCCCGAGACATAGCTGCTGGCGAATTAAACAAAAGACCTTGCATTTTCCAGAAAATATTAATTTTCTTTTTCAATTTTTTTTCCCTTGTAGAACTAATGTTATTGTGGTTTAATTGATTGTCAGATGTAAGAATAGGAAGGAGTGCGCTTTTATCACTGAATGCGGTTCGTGTTCTTTCCTTATGGAACAAAATATTTTTATGAACGATATTATGACGGCAATAATTGTTGATGAATAACCAAAGGAAATGATTTACATGTCAATTCTTTGCATTTTAGGTAATATTAATAAAGCAGTGAAAACATTTTATCATATCCAAATACGTAACTTGAATTCATATCTCTACTCCTTTCCCCATACTACTTGTGAAATGTACGAAGAGTTTTTTGTATAAAATGTGTACAATAAATCAATCACTTGCATAGTAATTATTACCGTTGATATCAAAGATTATCATTTGTATTTTTTCTGTCAGTAAATTTTTGGCTTTGTTAAATGTAATTTAATTATCCATTGTTCCCACCTTATACAATCACAGCTTTTGTGTAGTATGTAGAGTTGCATGCCGATCGATCTTTCACTGAGGGCTTAACCTTAGCTTGTCAGATACCTAATGACCACTTAATGACTTTTCTCTGTGGCGGAGGTAAGTGGACTCTCTTTGGGGTTGAGTCCCAAGTATGTTAAAGATCCCATCGCACTAATCGAAAAAAAGGGAGTTTCTCCCAAGAACGCAGCCAACAATTCCCCAGATAAAATAAAATGGTCATTCACTTAAGGGCTATCCTGTTTTCGCAATATTGCTGTGTGCAAATGTGTGAAGTCATGTTCACTCAGCAGCTGATTCACCAACACACAGTTTCTAGACTTTACAGAAAAACTGTGTGATGTGCTGATACATGACAAGGTGACAAGGTGATATATTAAATGTAAAGGTTATTGTTATTATTATTACAGTGCAGTAGTAGCCGAGTGCTCCATTTTTCGATGAGATGTTAAACGTGGCTCCCTTCTGCCTGTTGAGTTACACTTTAAAAGACTCTGAGGCACTATTTGAAAAGGGACATAGCTGTGCGCAAATTGGCTGTTACGTTTGCCTATAGATACAAAGTCACTACACTTATCAGTGATTACTGTGAAGCTCTTTGAGGCATTTCAACATGATAAAGTGCTATCTCACATGCAAGGATTATCATATTATTAAAGCAACGAACGTCATGAATCCTAACGATTTCACCGGTTCCACTGAAGGGGTTACCCTCGGAATGTGAACCTCTCATCCTTTTTCAGATCCTGGCTGGCCTGCCTCCTGTGCATTTCCAGTGTTTATTTTTCATTGCAAACATCTCTTCCATTTTGCTAATTGAGCGGCTGACTGGGCAGAAAAATGACCCCTTCACATCTCGGCTGGGTGCTTGCCTGGTCCAGCTGGCTATGGGCTGAAATGTGCTGGAAACGATTCACACATCACGTACAGCAGAACATACTTGCCTTTGCACTGCGATATAGCAGCTCATTATCATTCTCAGCACAAAGCTCTCGAAAGCTATGGTTACACTACATCGACCAAAGCCACTGTCTTACCACTCATGGTTATTGAAGCTGAGTCTATAACATTCGTTCAAAGATTTGCCTACCACCACACTTGACATCAATCACTGCACTTGACAGCAATTTCCTGTGAAGTACTTGAGACGTTTCAATGTTGACGTGTCAAATGCAAGGATTATTATTTAAAATATTTGAGGAGACATCCTATTCATTTAAGGGGACAGGTAACAAACAAGAAATTAGGGTAGATCCCTCCAGTGGAAATGTTTCTATAGAGCTTTGCATTTAACCTGGGATACAGTATCTCATGATCCAGTGTATAGTTTGGGACACGACGTGTCAAGCAACTGCCAGGATGGTGGAGTCCTATAGCTCAGTGGTTAGAGCACTCGCTTTGCAAGCGAGAGACCTGAGTTCAATTCCAGGCAGAGGGCGAAACCTTGGGCAAGTTTCCTTAATCCACACACCTAATAATAATCCCTCCAAAACCAAAAACAATAATAAATTGGACATTTTCAATCTACGACTGTTTGTGGGACATTGTTGTGCGCAATTGGCTGCCGCATTCGCCCACAAATATACAGTCAATTTACTTTACACTGTGTTCTGTGAAACGCTTTGGGACGTCCTCCTGACGTGAAAAGCGCTATATCAAATGCAACGATTATTATTATTATTATTAAGGTGAAGTCGATGGACCTTGGGGTTCTTTCGCCTGGCAAATTCTTGTGTTCTTATGCAACCCAATGATCACCCTCTCCCCCCTCTCTCCCCACAAGCTTTGCAATTCTTTCTCTTCTCTTCCTATTTACGCGTGTGTCCCTACATAATGTTTTGCAGAATGCCCATTTATAACCTTGAATCATTTATCTTTCTTCAATGTGTCTAGGTGTTTCCCAAGTCAGATTGAATGTTACTGTGCCTTGGCGTTTCAACTATTTCTACTCCCTAAAACACTGCCTGGGTCACTGGCAGGAGCTCAGCCAAGGAAGAAACTGCCTCTTGTGGGACCCTCATTGAGTCAGGAAGCTGTCATGGGTTGATTACTCAAAGTTCTGTCGACTTGGGCTTCCGTGAACATACACTGGATATTTAATAATGAATGTTCCGTATGACTAGGCATCAAATAATGTCATGCCCTCTCTTCTACATTTGTGCAGATTTACCAACATGGACTCTGAATATTGACTGGTTAATTCAAGCTCAAATTAGTTTCAATCCGTGGCATCAAAATTGTTAAAACGTGGTATGCCCTGATCCAGACCGAATCGATATTGTCTTTTAAGAGGGAAAGAGACAGGCGTTTAAAATGGAGTCATTTGCAGAGCTATGTGGAAAAAGCAGATAAATGGGATTGAATGGATTGCAAAGAGGCAGAACAGATAATGGGGCTGAAATGCCTTCTTCTGTGTTGTAAATTTCTATGGTTCTAAATTGTCATAAGCCATAAAATTATTGCCTTAAATTTAAAGTGATGTTCATAAAATTTACAGTCAGTTCACGTTACAGTGTATGCTGTGATGCATCACATCTCAATGACGTGTCAAGGAGCTATTACAAATACAAGGATTATTATTATTATTTTGAAAATTTCTTCGAGACTCTGACTTAATTTTTAGCAGCTGATTTTCTGCTGCTCTTAAAATGTGGACAGTCGAATTAAGACCGGATTTAAAATGTTTTGTGCCTCAAAACTGAAGATGTTGAGCAATAAAATTGTGTCCAGAACTGTGAGACACGGTTGGAACATAACGATTTCCTGGGCAGAGTTTAATAACCTGCAATTGGTCCTGATGAATAATGGTTGTTTGCGGTACATTAGCTTTGTGAACAAATTGGCTGTGACTCAGAGGCAAACAGGGCCTCAGCTTAACATCTCATCCGAAGGATTGCAACACTGACAATGCCACGCTCCACTTCAGCGCTGTATCAGAGTGTCAGCCTAGACTATAGGCTCAGAGTTCTGACGTGGAATTTGAACCCACAACCTTCTGACTCAGAGGCGAGAGCGCTGGAAGGCTGAGCCAGGCTGACATGCTGGTATTTCTTAGAATGTTACTTTAGCTCAGAGAGGAGACATTCACGGTCGCCAATAAGCAGAGACTCCAACCAGTAAGCACAGCCCAGTGGACATTAGGTTTTGCAACGTCTCTGGGGGGAGGGGGGAAGGATCTGTAGGATCTGTTCGGGAATATTAATTAGTTGCCTATGGAATGACACGAGTAAAGTACATCGGTCAGGATTATAAAGACAGAAGATTATAACAGATCAACATCTCAACATCAAATCACACATTTGTAAAGTTTTCATGGGATTAAAAAAAAGCACTTTAACTAATTCCAAAAGTGGAAGAGGGGGCGGTAGGATTATTAGTTGAAACGCTTCTTTTTTAACTACAAAAAATGAGGCTTTCAGGCAAATCACACTTTTAGATGCTCGCCAGGAAAATGTGTTGTCTTAAAAGGCGTCAATATATCTACACAGTGTGTGTCCTTGCCACGAACAAGATATAATACTGTATTTAGCATTCAGATTCTCTGCGGTTCTTGTGTTGTTAGAATTTACCTGGAGTGGCGAAATATCTTCTATACAAAGCCACATTTCAATGCCAATTACATTCTAAACCAATCCCTTTGATGTCACAGGAAGCAGAGAATTCCAAAGACTGATCATAAATTGAGGATTTATTTGAAACTATAATGTGCTGGCTAATGTTGTACTGTAATACGTGTCTCACGAATGATGTGTGTGTATGAATGTCTGTAGTTCTACGGCTATTGTGCACACATTGAATTGGGAAACGTGCAGTGCAGAGTATGTAGATTATCCATTGGATTATGCACTCAAAATTACCCAACCACCTGAGTCAGATTGATGCCAGTATCAAAAGGTATAAATAATATTATATAATCTTTGCATTTGGTATAGCACCTTATCATGTCTGTGAGACGTCGCAAAGTGCTTCACAGAATATACTGTAAAGTGAATTGGAATTGACTGTGTCATTTGTGGCAGCCGATTGCGCATAGCAGAGTCCCACAAACAGTAATGGATTGAGCGACCAAATTATTATTATTATGTTTTGAAGGGATTATCTACTCGTGTGGAGATAAACACTATTGTAAACTCGATGAATCGAACAGCCCATTTCTGTGCTGTAA